TTTTTCTTATTATTTTAACAATTTTTGTTTATAACAATAAAACTAATAACAAATAAAATAAATAACCTATAAAAATGTGTTGCTCAATAAAACCAGAATGTTATGAACACAACTTTCAAATGTATGTAGTTTGTTTAAAGCGAAAATATTAATATATGTGTTTTATGCCCTTACAACCTCCTTAAGTACACGAGCGTACTCCACGTTGTCGGGAGAGACAATCCTCCAAGAAAAAAACCACACCACCAATTGTCGCGTTCAACAACAATCCGTTATGATCGACAATTATCAGCGAACTAAGGGATTTTGCGGTCACTTGAGATGTTACATCCATTATGATGTGAAAATAACGGATGCGTAAACTTGTAAGCTTGATTTAAGCACTCGGATTAAACATACTTGCTTGGCACGTGTCGCGTCAGTCAACATCACGTTACACATCGTCTCGCTACCGTAAATATAATCAGGTAGATAACTGAGGCGACACTCATCAATTTCTAATCGCGTGTATCACGCAAGCCGGAACACTGGCGATTTTAAAAATCAATATACATAACTCGAAACGTTCAATATAATGTATGTACAATAGTAGCCGTATTATGTAAACGTAATAATATTCGAACCGAATTGATTAAAAAATATATAGGTAAACTGTTTTAGAGCGTAGATGGACAAATGGAAAATTATTCGATTAAACTTAGATCATATTTAGCAAAATTCTGAAGTAAGACGCAATTTCCGAGACATTTAACCCTTTAAAACACGCCAAGTAATATGGCACCTTAATTAAATTGTATAATTGGGAAAAATCATTCCAGTTTTCAACGAGAAATATCGTCACCAAACGCGCCTATTAACATCGCATACTCCATGTAATTTAAATGATTGCGTTCACGTTAGCAAGTAATGTCACGGGCTGTTGCCGTCACGGTATTTATTCTTAAAAAAAATATTCGACGTGATCGTACCTGTTCAGATTGGTTTACGATATATGCAGATGTATTTATTCTGCCCCGGAAGAAATAATCCATAGACGATCCAAAATTATATAAGCGAGGGGGTAATCACTTAATGTAATCGTGGGACAGAGTCCTCGAAATCATTATAAAATTCATATGAAATTTCTATGTATAATCCGATATAATTACGTATGCAACCACGATAAATCATTGTATAATATTAAATAAATTCGTATATTTTACCAAACGACTTCATATATAGCGAAAAAAATTATTTGTAATCAGATGAAATCATATGATGTCATGTAATCTGTGGGACAATATTTCAGCTAGTGGTTACCCCCTCGTATATAAGATATAACGCGTAACGCACAACTTGACATAATTGCAGATACAAATATTTACAGCAATTAAATCTACAATAATGCATAGAGTGCAATGTTTAGTTCAGTGTTTCGAGTTTCAATCGCATTGTTAGTTTACTTAGGCCTTAAAAACAATGCAAAAAGAACACAATATAGCAAAATGAAAGAATTATTTTAAAATATTTATATTAATTTGGATAACATATCATTGGTATAAAATAAAGTAAAAAATTAAAATGAAATACGTTTTATATGTGTAGATCACTAACATAAGAAATTAATAATAAAGAATTTTCATGGAAAGAATCGCTTCTTAGCCATGTAAACGACTGTTACGAGAGTCGAAGATGCAGTGAGAACGCAGGGGATTCCACTATTCTGGCACACACGGTACATCGAATAAAAGAGAGAAAGATGAAGCTGGAGTCCAGATATAGACTGGTTACAGGTAATAGTTCGGTAGATAGTAGTGGTAGCGAGCGGTAGGACCGGTAGGTTTGGTTTACTTCAGGTTCGTTGCGGCCAGCCGGTTAGCAACTCTTCTTCTTCTTCGTCTTCTTCTTCTTCTTCTTCTTCTTCTCCTCTGTCTTCTTCCTCATCTTTTTTCTTTCTCCGCCACCGCCGCCTCCACCATCGTCTCCTTCTCGTTCATAATTTTCTCCCTCTATCCTTTTTTTGCGACGTTTCTTACCCCGGTACTTATTTTAACGCCGATGGGGAGATGTAACAAAGTGCATTCACGAAAGTGCCCGCGTCGGCGCGTTTGCCCCTGACGAAAAATATATATAGCGTGCTTTTATTCCCTCTAATTTTTTTATTTAGTTATATTTAGGTGATAACGCCGACAACATCGTGTGTATGTCTGGTCGCTTTCGAAATTTATTAACTCTTTTCTGTTCACGACTCGTTTTGAATTACTTGTCGGAACGAATGAGCGACATGCGAATAATCTTTCTTGAAAGTCTCTTTGTACGCCGACAGCTTTGACGGAGGCGTGTCTATGTCGACAGGCTACCATTAGGATCAATAAGTATATCTTTGTGCAATCCAGATGCAACGTAATCCTCGCGAATCGAGTGGATTTTTTAACATTTTGCCATACGGGGCCTGGCTTAGCCAATACCGACGGATCTCGGTAATATATATTCATAATGCTCGCCTAACATTACCGAGAAGAAATTAGATCGGGAATGCCTGATGCACGACTAATGCCTGATCGGGAAAAAGTAGGGAATGCCATAATACGGAATTTCCGATCCTTGCCTGATCGGGAAAAAGTAGGGAATGCCATAATACGGAATTCTCGATCCTTGCCTGATCGGGAAAAAATAGGGTATGTCATAATACGGAATTTCCTTATACTATGACCTGATTAGGAAATAGTAGGATGTGTCCTAATATGGAACTCCCGACCTGTGCCTGATCGGCAAAAAATCAGAGAGCGCGTTTTAAGATTTTTTTCGGGTAATCCTGAAAGTGGCCGGATTTCCTTGTTCTTATTCATTGTTTTTATAAAAAGAGATTATATTCTCTTGAGGTTATATATCGTGTAATGTTAAATATCGAATTATGGATGCAAATTATAATAAAACACGTTTGATAACGCAAATGCGAGTGAGAAGATTTCGTGCATCTCGTCAAGCATTGTACTTATGCGAATCCGTATCAGAAAATAGTAAGTAGATTTAAAACATAAAATAGCATAACTATACATTACCCCAGACAGCATCGAATATTTATGATAAATATTTATTAATAATCATTTTTTTAAATGTTACATAAATATTTCATACATATTTTATATAAAGCTTTATTCGAAATATTATTAAAATATAGACTAAATATTTTATGCAATATTTATGATAGATATAAATAAATATTTCTAAGTATTTTTTACTTGGATTATAATGTCTTCTCATTAAGTATTTTCATAGAATTTACTATAACATTAATAATAAATATTTCATAATATTTATAATAAATGTTTATGATCTGTGCAAATTTTATCAAAATTTTTTTTATAAATTAGAGTGCAAAATATTACTGGCCGGAAATTTCTGCATGTCACTGTATATCGCAACCTAACCTGTATCTAAGCAACAAATACCTTATCAGAGCCCTATTAATGCCCTTGCAGTGCCCTTAAAATTTCCTATTAAAAACAAAGCATGACAAAGGGTAAAAATTCGGCCCCGATTATGATTGTCCGATCAGGCAATCTTCATTCTCGACGTTACATTTACGATCAGGGTCGGATCGGGCATTAGGGCATCCTGATAAGGACCCGATCATGGCCCTTTCAAAATTTCTGCTTAATTGTAATTCCTGAACTCAACAACAAATAGATTCACTCTAAAGAAAGTTCATGTCGCGCGCTCGAGCGAGTGCGGGTTGTAAATTCGAGTGCGAGAGCGTGTGGCAAATACGTAACGTCATAACACGCGCGGGCGGATAAGAGTAAAAGTAACGAGATATTTTCGCACTACTGCCGCTGCGTAACAGATCAAAACAGCGCGGTTAACGGCAATCCGGCGACGTGGCCGTAATCGGTGATTACTAACGGTCTCAAGTGCGACTCGGACGACATCGATGGTTTGACAAACAAAAGAAAAATAGCACCGGCTCTGGACGTGCCGCCTCCATCACCGGCTCCTCACATGAGACCAGACGGCCTGATCTTGCAGAGGAAATCATATAACCCTTGCCTTACCTTCGCTAATCATAAGGACTTTCACAGGGAGTTACTCTTCAACCAGAAAATCGGCAATAACGTCTTGAACCAGAAAAGTGAGCTGTAACGTGCTCTGGAAAAACAGAGGGAAACTGCGTCAAGGAGGAAAGCTGAGAGGATCTGTGAGGAAAGTTACAAGGACGATCCCAAGACTACCTTGCAAAGGGCGATCGAGCAGAGAGCAAGACACATTCAACTAACGCAGGAGTAATCGCGAACGACAACGGAGTCGCCGAGCAACCTCTTAATTACGGCGAGAGCGAAGCTGAGGCCGCGCACCGAATCTCAATGAAGCCGGTGAAGATCGAAGGTCGCGCAAACTGATGTCACACCCTTTGGGTGAAGATGATGTCGCGCCCTTCGGGTGAAGACGATGATCCGCTCAAATGGGCAGTTAATTTCATCCTTCAGCGCCTTATCAATTGCAATCAGTGTATAACATATACATAATAAGTTTCTTGACACAAGAATTATTAACGGCGTCAAAAAATGTACATTGTAACAGACGTTAGGTCTTAATCTTAGGCGTTACGATAATATGATGGGACGTAACGAGCACGTATTTGATTGCTCGCTCGTTACATCCCATCACGAGCAGGATCGCCGGGGATCTATCTCAAGAAACATTTCGTGAATGTTTAACGCGTCACATCGCCGCGCCAATCTGTCGTAAAATCATTCCCAAATAAACAAAGAACCACATCAAGCATTAACACTATACTTGTCAACTATTGTTTGACATTTTATTTATTATTCAAATATTTAATAATGTAGATCTTTTTTATAGCTACAACATATATATACAATATATATACATATATACATATATATGTTATATACAATCAAATATATACAAATATATATATTGATAATATGTATATAACACCGTGTAACATAATTTTTTTTCTTCACACACGAAACTCCAATTGTCCACAAAAGCAGAGAAAAAATGTAATACAGGTGTACATGTCGTTCCGTGATATTAAATAATTTGTGTTTTTTACGTACATTTGAAAGTTTATATAAATTTGAAAAGGTTATTTTGGCCACGGTGCAAAATAAAATTTTGTGATTGTTATATGAAAATATATGAAAATTATATATTTTCGTATAAAATTAAATTAAATTTGTATAAAATTAAATGAGAAAATCATAAAATTAAAGCGATTGAAGTAAAGCGAAATGATGAAAATATATATTTTTGATTGAAAATTGCTCAAAATTGTCGACTTTTCTACAAAAGCGATCATAACGCATTTTCTTTGAAATTAGCTGCATATATTATATGTAGGCCGCAGTTCAATTCAGACTTATAACAGTTACGAATTATAGAAAGCTTAGACGCGATTATAACCAGATTTTTGGGCAAGAACAGAGCTAAAAGTTATAAAGAAGTTGTAACCGAAATAATTGCTTTATTTTATAAAATAGGAGTCAATGTGTTGTCGGAAAAGAAATCTAAATGATTCTATATACAAAAAGTGGGTTTTTCCACTTTTTGTATATAGAATCATTTAGATTTCTTTTCCGACAACTTGGGCGATTTTAGTGACGAGCACGGTGAGCGTTTAAATCAAAATATTGCTACATAATCGAATAAAGCTTAAAAAAAGACTTATATGCTTAGCGAATACTGCTGATCGATACCGCGACACACAAGGCCAGCATAAACGGCAAAGCAATCGCTTGTGTTTTCTCACGAAATAATTAGTTTTTTTTGTACATTCAAAATTGATAAATTTGTTAACTTTAACATTTCACTTGACTCTAATGACTTTAAATTTAATTTCGTATATTTTGTTAGAAAAACGAGTAATAAATGTTGCTTTTAAATGAAGTCATGCAAAATACATTTTCTCATTAATATATTCATAAAGAAAATCGTAGAAAGACCGAAAAAAGGAGAAATTTGTGCGATTTTCGACTAAAAATGCATTTTTTCATCATTTTGGTTTATTCCAATCGTTTTAATTTGATCGTTTTCCTATATAGCGATCAATTTTACATGGGAATACATAATTTTCAATATATTTATATTTTTTGACCGTATATTTGAGAAACTCAATTAATACTAGAATGTAACTGCCTATTACGGTCACCCCCATTAACCTGGACCCCCCACCATCGAAAATCAAAATCGCGATAGG